TTTCAGAAAAACCCAATTAGATCTACAACAAGCTAGGTATAATTTAAGAAAAACCCAATTAGATATACACCGAGCTAGGTATAATTTCAGAAAACCCAATTAGATCTACAACAAGCTAAGTATAATTTCAGAAAAACCCAATTAGATCTAAACCGAGCTAGGTATAATTTCAGAATATCCAATCAGATCTACACCGAGCTAGGTATAATTTCAGAATATCCAATCAGATCTACATCAAGCTAGGTATAATTTAGGTATGGAAACTTAAAAAACCTTAAAAACCCGAAAATTTGCCCGTTTTTCGTGTCTTTTTTAAGATTTTTTGCCCAAAATTGCCGTTTTAAAGGTTTTTAAGGTTTTTAAAGGCAACCCTGTGCATGTGACACAGAAGTTGCATACACCTCTCAGAGGTGTATAAGAGTTCAAGGTCACCACGTCCAAAATCGACGTTTTTCTGCAAAAACGACCATTCCTAACCTTTCACTATTGTTTTTTTACAAAAGGGTGAAATATGGAAAAAATTTCATCTATATATTATGGAAGTTATGCGCTGAAGTGTTAGCAAAGTGCTTAGCCGAGATGATAGATATAATCTTATCTCTGCGAGTTCTTAACCGGAGCAGTATGAGAATTAAAATTAACCGATGAGATCATTTTCCCACCAAACTCCTTGCTTTCCAGCCTGTTAGTGTTATCATCCATGGATCAGAATTGTTCAGCCTCAAGAGCATCATATATTATGTGCGACAGAGCACTGTTGTGCTTTATTGGCCCAACCAGGCCCAAGCTACACTCTTGCTTCAATACCATTAGTATGAACTAACCCTAAATGGTATAGTGCCTGGCGGCTGGCATGCCTTACAATACCATTAGACTGTTAGGAAGGAAGTTAAACTTTGGCACCGCCATTTTTTCAGTACTGGTACATTAAGTCATGTGGACGAAATAATAACTGTAGCCAACTCGTATCCAACATCGGACCAATGTTTGTTTACATGTTGGTGACAGTAAGGGAGAAGTACAATATTTTATTCTGTGTGGTTGCTTTGGTACCAGTGCTTTAGTGCATGGTTTCAGTACTAGTATAAATGTGCCAATACTTTCTGATGCCTGTTCATGTAATCAGAGGTATTTTACTATATTGCTCCCGAAGACATTCCCGTACGTGTTATAATATTCGATGGAATCCAGCCTTGTCAATTTCCAGTGCTCCGTCGTACGGAGTTATTCGTCTACATATAGTCTACAATCTAGTTCCATTTTTAGATCTGCTTATTTAAAGAGGGCTGCCACCCTTCAATGAGACGTCAACACTACTAATGTTATCATGGTTAATTCGTAGTGAACTTCTTTAAAACTGCGCCTTCCAGTTCCATACTACTCATGAGCTGCCTCACTGCAATAATAGCGCTTCTGGTGAGGAGACGACGACCATGGCTATTCGTTAACTGTTGCTATTACTATTCCTATTGTGCTTACCTCGTTACCAACGACGGTGATCTGCTGCACCAAATCTGGGGTCTGTGAGTGGCTGAGCTGCAACTCAGACCTGCATGTGACACAGGGGTTTCATAAACCTCTCAGAGGTGTATAAGAGTTCAAGGTCACCACGCAATCCGTGTCACTTGTGTTTTTGGGCGTTGATAATAAAATACTATTCGTATTTTAATCATTTCGTACCTCCTATCTGTCTTAAAGTAGTCGTTGATTTGTTGATATAAAAGCCAAAAGTTCCAAACTCAATTATATTAGGTCTAATAACCTTAAACCTTAAATAACCGCTTATTCCGTGTCACTCACTAACTGGGTTCGTTAAACGTACATAAATTGCGCAAGTTAAATGACTCCTATATTAGCAACTAAAAGATGCATTGTTTGTAGAAAATGATGATACGGACAACCCTTCTCCTAGTACTGATCTCGTCTTTATCAGCAGGTTCGTTCTTATTATCTTACTTAACCAGACACCGGGCCCTTATCAGCAGGTTCGTTCTTATTATCTTACTTAACCAGATACCGGGCCTTTATCAGCAGGTTCGTTCTTATTATCTTACTTAACCAGACACCGGGCCCTTATCAGCAGGTTCGTTCTTATTATCTTACTTAACCAGATACCGGGCCCTTATCAGCAGGTTCGTTCTTATTATCTTACTTAACCAGACACCGGGCCTTTATCAGCAGGTTCGTTCTTATTATCTTACTTAACCAGATACCGGGCCTTTATCAGCAGGTTCGTTCTTATTATCTTACTTAACCAGACACCGGGCCTTTATCAGCAGGTTCGTTCTTATTATCTTACTTAACCAGATACCGGGCCTTTATCAGCAGGTTCGTTCTTATTATCTTACTTAACCAGATACCGGGCCTTTATCAGCAGGTTCGTTCTTATTATCTTACTTAACCAGACACCGGGCCTTTATCAGCAGGTTCGTTCTTATTATCTTACTTAACCAGACACCGGGCCTTTATCAGCAGGTTCGTTCTTATTATCTTACTTAACCAGACACCGGGCCTTTATCAGCAGGTTCGTTCTTATTATCTTACTTAACCAGATACCGGGCCTTTATCAGCAGGTTCGTTCTTATTATCTTACTTAACCAGACACCGGGCCTTTATCAGCAGGTTCGTTCTTATTATCTTACTTAACCAGATACCGGGCCTTCATCAGCAGGTTCGTTCTTATTATCTTACTTAACCAGATACCGGGCCTTTATCAGCAGGTTCGTTCTTATTATCTTACTTAACCAGATACCGGGCCCTTATCAGCAGGTTCGTTCTTATTATCTTACTTAACCAGATAACGGGCCTTTATCAGCAGGTTCGTTCTTATTATCTTACTTAACCAGATACCGGGCCCTTATCAGCAGGTTCGTTCTTATTATCTTACTTAACCAGATACCGGGCCTTTATCAGCAGGTTCGTTCTTATTATCTTACTTAACCAGATACCGGGCCTTTATCAGCAGGTTCGTTCTTATTATCTTACTTAACCAGATACCGGGCCTTTATCAGCAGGTTCGTTCTTATTATCTTACTTAACCAGATACCGGGCCTTTATCAGCAGGTTCGTTCTTATTATCTTACTTAACCAGATACCGGGCCCTTATCAGCAGGTTCGTTCTTATTATCTTACTTAACCAGATACCGGGCCTTTATCAGCAGGTTCGTTCTTATTATCTTACTTAACCAGATACCGGGCCTTTATCAGCAGGTTCGTTCTTATTATCTTACTTAACCAGATACCGGGCCTTTATCAGCAGGTTCGTTCTTATTATCTTACTTAACCAGATACCGGGCCTTTATCAGCAGGTTCGTTCTTATTATCTTACTTAACCAGATACCGGGCCTTTATCAGCAGGTTCGTTCTTATTATCTTACTTAACCAGATACCGGGCCCTTATCAGCAGGTTCGTTTTTATTACCTTACTTAACCAGATACCGGGCCTTTATCAGCAGGTTCGTTCTTATTATCTTACTTAACCAGATACCGGGCCTTTATCAGCAGGTTCGTTCTTATTATCTTACTTAACCAGATACCTTTATCAGATCCCCCAGTTTATAGGTTACCCAGATTCACCGGGGTAAATACATTTTCTTCTACATCTCCGGTTAATTGGAGGTTTACTGTATCAAGTAATGGACTAAAGCGAAAATTATGCAATTTTGCTCAGTTTGGAAGCCATAGGAATAATGGAAGTTTTGAAGATGATTTCAAAAATTTAATCTCACGATTTAAATGCTCACCAAAATGTATTATTTTAAAGTAACTGAAAATTTAATAATACCATTTCAGTTGAATACAAGGTTACAACAGTAACAGCAGATGTGGAAGATGCTGATACAGATTCCGGATTTTACTACACTATTATCGGGACCAAGGGAACAACATCTGAGTACCAATCAGACAATCCTGGGAATGACAGACAAAGAGGGAAAACTGATACTTACACCATAACAGATAGTGCGGAAATTGGAGAGTTCAGATGTGTTTCAATAAGGATACACGATGATGATGGGGATGGATGGTTCATCACAGAGGTATGGCTCACAATATTTAATTTCTGATAAATGTTTACAGCTAAATGTTCAGATGGCTTGAACTGAATCTTTGGTTTTTGAGTTATTTTTGGCTATAAAACGATGTATAAATGTCTATACATATCCGGGCAACAGCCTTTTGTTTTCATAGAGAACATAATATAAATGCAGTATAATTACGAACCAACTGTTTCTAGATTGTCGTTGAGATGAGTGGACAAGTCATACCAAAGATTACAGTCGGAGTGGGTTGGATTAATGATGATCCGAATATATTGAGTGAAGTAGCATTTTGCGCCACTGATTTTGGTAAGATCACAATTTTATTATAGAATCTCTATTATAATTCGAAATTTTCTATTTGTCTGTTTGTCCGGCCACGTGCAAATTAGGCAGAAAGCAAACAGTTGCATAGTACGCAGGTAAAAACGCACAGGTTCACGCACAATGATTGTTGGAACGGAATTTTGATCGGTTTTGTGGTAATTACGTTGTGTTTAAAGTGTTTCACATATAACATACTTCCTGGATTGTGTCATGTAGTGTAAGAATGACACAATGAATTAGAAGATTATTTGATAATTGGACGATAATTAATTTCAGAAAATAAGGTTAGAAACAGATGCCCGAGCAGCCATCCTTACTCGTTTCATCAAAACAACCGATGCTGTTCCAACAACAAAGAGAAAGTTTTCAGTGCTACTGGGCTGCATTCAGAGTACAACACTTACTGCGATGAGAGAATTCTAGGAGATACAAGTCTTTGCTGTGATGGAGACAGTATGGAATGTCCAAATAAACCTTGCTTCGACTATGCTCAAAGTAAGATTAATAATAATGTTATAATATTTATGATAAAACAGACCATATCAAGGCAGATGTCCTAAAGCCCCAACCGCGTACGAGCAATTTCCTTTCCCGACATGGGGCTTAACATACATAACAAACAAAACCCTGACTTACCGCAATCCCTGATTTACCGCAGCAGTTTCCTTCCCCCAATCTCTGCGGTAAATTGGGGTTATACTGTACATTGTACAACCTCAACTTAGATATCATCAACCAAGGAACAATGAGCTGTTGGATAAAGTTTTGCTACATTGCGATCATGTTAGCACAATGAAACTAATGAGTATTGTACCTATTGAGAAGTTTAGAAAATGGCATCTTCACGGGTATGGGTTTTCTGTTATCCAGGAGTATATACGGCGGTGCAGACGGCAGAACACTGCGTTAGCCCTATATAATACAGAGAACATCTGAAAAACATTCGCAGCCAGAGCTCTCATGCATGAAGTTGTGAGGCAAATATTTTTCCAGACTTAGAATATTTGTAATTTTTCTTAGGTTGGTCGAAGAGAGTCAAACAAGGTCATCAAATACAGGGTGGGCCAAAAGTCAGTGTGCAAACGTTGGGTCTTATACCTCCGCCGTGTTTTATATTTGAGGGTTGTTGCTTTGCAGATGGTTTACTGTTCCTACTGGTTCGAGGATTCCGTCACCAAAATTTGAAAATTCGAATATTTTAGACCACGCCCATTCAATATTAAAACATGTATATTGTTTCTCAGAGACGGTAGATTATTAAATGTTGCATCTGATCTGAAAAAATGAGACAAAACGAATTAGAAATGACGAAGTTATCAAGCATTTTCTGCATCTCGTTATCAACATTGACTGGGTGATTATGTGACACCGTGACAAGACACCTTAATTGGGCACCCTTAACAATTCCCATAATGTTTAACGGGGTAGTTAACGGGGTCACCAAATCACGTGATTAGGTAAACCAATCACCTGATCACACGTAATGAATAAACTCGTTATGCTTCATAATTCATATCTCTGTCACATGAGAAGCTACAGTTCTAATTTTTTCAGGACAAGCGTAATTCGAATGGCCAAACACAATTCAATAAAATTTAGCTCGATTAGACTATCAAAACTATCAAATAAATGCAAAAATGAACCTTCATTTGAAAAAAATGAACTCTAATATTTATCAATTTGACAAATTCCTCGAACCAGTGGTGGTAGTAAGTCATACCAGAAATAATTATTTCAATTGGGCACTCAGTGACTGAGCTATTAAGGCCAACGTTTGCACACTGACTTTTGGCCCACCCTGTACCATTAGCACATGATAAGGAAACCAGTTAAACGTAAAGACACCAGTTAAAGACTTAATCCGTTTTATAAATTTCCAATAGCAACACGTCATTGTGTGTAGCTGCAGTTATTTTTTCAAAGATTTTGTCAAAGATGGCAAACCGTAACAACGGGGGACATCAAAATATACTTCGTTGTAAGAAGATAACACGTGATCTTAAGTTACAGCTAAATGATGTTTAAATCAAAGGCTGATATAGCTGATATAATCGCATATTACTTCGAAATAGAAAATTGACCATGTAATTGTTCATGATAAATCATAAGTGCAAGTTTGCTCACTACACAGAGTTGCTAGCCACACAAATTTATTTTGATCCTTTCTTGGTAGCCTTACTCATTATCCTTCACAATTATTCAGCATTTCTACAATCCTTTTTTATTGTTGGAATGTGGTGATAATGTTTTTCGGATTATATAGATGTTGTTATGATTGGGCGACATCTGTCCGACAGCGACATCTGTCCGACAGCCGAATTGGGGATTTCGGACAGATGTCGCTGTCGGACAAGAGTCGTTTTTGGCGACATCTGTCCGAATTTCGGATCATATTGTAATTTCGGTTCACATTCTTATTTCACAAGCTCACGGGTAATCTTGTGACGTTGCTCCCTATGTTCGAATGCTGATGTGATCCACTGAGATCTGATCCATCGATACGTGATTGACTATTTGAGGACAGGATTTTGCTAGCCGTACACTGTCGATCACATCACAGGACACAGCCTACATGAGTACATATAGGACAGCGGCCTTATGGAGATCAGTTATCGCAATCCACAAAATCAACCAATCTTCAGTAAACAGACTCGTCGATATTTCCTCTGGGGTACTCCTAAGAACGCAGATCATATGGCGGACGCGGAGCATTTGTATCACGTTGCGACCCCCACGGTCGTTTCACTATAGTCACTATAGTCACTATAGTCACTATAGTCACTATGGTCCTTTATCGTCCTGACGATACAGGGGGAGCCGCGCACTTCGTGCGCGGCGGGTCATACAACGTATGACAACGGAGCATTGGGTAGTCGACGGTACCTTCAAATCCGCACCTAAACTCTTCCATGATCAGCTCTTCACAGTCCACGGACTCTTCCCTGATGGCTGGCACCTCCCCCTCTCCTGATTATTCCTGAAAATCGACTGATTATTCCTAGAAAATCGACGACCATCTACCACAACGCAGTTTCCTCATGCCTGCCTGCCTAGTATGGGTCGAAAATAAACTAGTAGTAAACTATGGCTCAGATCATATCTCAAATTGGCAATGTTACGTATACAAATTTGCAAGTAACAGTTCAGATCATGTCTCTAATTGGAAATGTGTCGTATTGAAATCAGATCACAATTTCGGACAGATGTCGTTTTTTTCTGGTACCCTTAGTCGGACAGATGTCGCTGTCGGACAGGAGTCGTGTTACCTGTTGTTATTTGACAATAAAAACAAGTTAAATGGATGTTTTTGTTCGTTATTTAATATTAATTGTTGCTTTTTTTACTCCCACATATTAACTAAGTACCTTAGAGACAGATATCTTATAATGAAGCAGAAGCAGCAGCATGTGCATTGTGCAGGTACGCAGGTACGGTCCAAGACAAAGTTTTTCAACAATGGAAAGTAAGATTTTTGTATCGTGTATTAGCTATTAACCAAAAATGGGGGATATCTTTAATCAAAACCCAAAAATTTAGTAGAGTGGACCGTAATGTCTTCTTCTACACGACGGTGGGTTGAGAGCCAATATGGATTCGAAGCAGTCATTAAGTGGCGCTTGTTGTAATAATGATCCGCGGTCTGTACTATGGGCAGATAGCGTTTACCAGAAATTGTAACTTCTTTTCTGGAGAATGGGTTCTTGAAAGATATTTAAATGATACGATAGTTCGTGGTAACAGTACCTTTAAAAAACAAGTGTCAATCGTCTACAGCTGTATACTTTCTGAACATATAATTATCATGACATTTATTAAAAAACAGTACAACCTCATAAACAAATAAATTATCAATTCACACCAGTCATAACAGATAAACAGGACTTTATCTGTCATACAAGACAAACTTTCCCAAACATACAAGTTCCTTTCCTAATAACTTGCCACGTTGACTCATCACAAAGTTCACCTCGAGACCCTGGTTGTCACCCTGGTTACCGTTCTCATCCCAAGACCGCACGACCAGCTGTCTACCCAGCACCACAGGGTACTTATACTCTATATCAATGGTCTGTACCCTCTGGAGAGGAGATCTGAGGAGAAGTACTGGTATTTAATATGGTACGCACTGTCCAGTAGGTAGTCCACGTACACGGGGTGCCCCACGTGGTTGTTGAAGTCCAGGTCAGAGGGACGCACTGTTAAAGTTGTTTCTCCAGCTGATATTGGTACGTCCGTGTTCAGTGAGAAGCGAATATTAGACTTGCCGGGATTATTAGCTGTAAACTTGGCTGGGAGATCGATTGGTTTACCAGTTGTGGCTGAAACGTACACCATTTTCCGGACCAGTGTTGCAATGAGGTCACCGTCGAAATACCAATGGATAGTCATGTCAAATGATGTCTTTCCTGTGTAGCTGTTATAAGCTTCAACAGTCAATTTGTAAGGTTTTTCTGGCCAAGAGATATTATACAATTTTTCAGTCAAAGTAAGTCTGATATTCCTCATAAAGACCGTCTTGGATTCATTGAATTCGAACAATCCATAATCACAGAAATTGTTCAACCTCAAAAATTCTGCCGTCTCCTGACCCCATTGAACGAAGACTTTAGGGTTGACCTTGTGGTTTCGGCTCAGATACATTCCAATGGGTATCTCACCTCGGTACACCTGAAAGCCGTTCATCGGAGACGTCGAGAAGTTTAATCTTCGGAGGATATCGTGGGCTAGATAAATCATTGTGTAATAGACAGCAAATATCATCGTGCAAACGCAACGAACTGCAGACTGCAAGACAATAAGTGAATCAGTGTAATACAGTGTGTAGGCGTGTAGAGTATTGAATAATGTGGATCAAATTACTACTACCAACGTGATGCGTCCTACACGCTATTCTAACATAGCACTAGAATTTACTTGCGTCTTCCGGTTATATTATACATACCACATGTATTGTATACACGTCGTCTAATGTAGTGATTATATATAGTCTAGGTAATGGATATCTGAAAATTAGAGCTAGCATTCTTATATCTTGAACCAGTGCTCTTATAAAAGCTTGAGCTACTCCATTAATAGCTTGAGCCAGTACTCTTTTAAAAGCTTGAGCCACTCCTTTTATAGCTTGAGCCAGTACTCTTATAGATTGAGCCAGTACTCTTATAAAAGCTTGAGCCACAACTCTTAAAGATTGAGCCAGTACTCTTATAAAAACTTGAGCCACAACTCTTGTAGATTGAGCCAGTACTCTTATAAAAACTTGAACCACAACTCTTGTAGATTGAGCCAGTACTCTTATAAAAGCTTGAGCCAGTACTGTTAAAGCTTGAGCCAGCACTCTTATAAAAGCTTGAGCAAGAACTCTTGTAAAGTGAGTCAGTACTCCCATAGCTTCAACCAGTACTCTTATAGCGGAGAGCCAAGATACAATCAATAATCACGCTAACGCATAATAAACAAAACACAGCACACTAGCAGCAGAACGATCTCAAGAAATAGCGGCTGCTCGATACTCCTTCATAAATCCTCTAACCTGACCACTGCCATTAAAACTAAATAAAAATACAATTTAGTATCTGAAATCCAACGCTCATTAATCCTTCAAGAGCCTAAATATTGCTAGATTGTAAAATCATGACGTCCATTATAGTAATATCGGAACGAAAGTACAAATTAGCTTATGTTCACTCTTTAAATAACCCACGGCAAGAAGTGGAACTACCAGTTCGAACTTCTTTCTCTGTGACTCCTCTGGATTTGTGATAATTATGCTGCTGCCCACTCAGTTTGAGCTACACAAGATATTATGCCAGACTACACAGCTGTCTACGCCACTTCATGCCGTGAAGCTGCACTGCCAGTTCGATGTGCGAGCTTTTCATGCTCGATATCAGATCAGAATATCAGGTGACGGACTGCTCAACATCAATTATTAAATTACCAAATCAGGGCAAAAAAATTAAACATTTGCCCCCGCAACGGTATTTACGGCCCTGTGCCAAATTGTACTATAGATAAGATCCAAGAATAAGATATTATAATATATATATTATAATATCTTATATTTCGCTTATAAACATTAAACATTTACTTAGATTTTCAATTTAAGTCAGCCTTGGCAAGGGTCCAACCGTAATTACATATACGATGAATTTGAGTATTTACTTTCTTTATTATAAAGGGTACACAGCAGGAGAGCAAACAATGTTGACAGATGAGCCCGACCTACAATGAAGTTACTGAAGTTCTAAAATGCATATCATGTCCTGTCCCGATGTGTCAACGTCAACAAAAAAGTAAAGAATAAAACTCACCGTTGTGTCATTGTCCACCACTGTTGCCATGACGTCTCTTCGCAACTTGAACTAGTGCGAGTTCAAGAGATTAATTTCTACATTTCTATAATCATATTGTGAATTGTGAACGATTACGTTTGGGTAGTACTAGTAGATAAGTAGATGACTTAACAATTGTGTTTGGAGTTAGTTTATTTCAGCTTTTGAAAGTAAGTTAAATCGATAATCAATAAGTAAACCTGATTTGTAATGGATAATAAATCTACAAACTGTTATAATATATATACATGCTTAATACCCTAAAAATAATATTACAGAAATAAATTTAATGTCATGCAAACTGCTAATAAATTCAAAAAGCAACTTTCAAATATTTTATTGCCCAAAATATTCGCAAATCTATAAACTGTTAAACTGTTAATTTGACATAGTACAAAACTTGCAGATTTATCACAATAAAAACGATCAAAATATGCTGAATTCAAAAAATACATCACGACCCTCACAAAAAGCATCTAAATTAAGCCCAGAAAAGCCATGCGACAATTAAAAACTACGCTGTTAATCATTCGAGGCCAAGATTTTCCAATCTATTATGCAGCTCAGACAGTTTTTCGGATTTCTTGGTTTCGTTGAGTTTTATGATGGTGAAGAGATGCTCCTGAAGGCCCTCCTTCAGCTCCTTGCACTTGTGTAAGTCCAGTTTCGCTGCCACGAATTCCTGCTCTGCAGTCTCGTATCTCTTACTGGGTGCAGCATAAAGATTAAATTAATTTTACAGGTTCAAAACAGAAAATCTCTCTGCAACTGTTAATCTAAGTTGCTTAATTTCCATAAAAATGTTTAAACAAATAACAATGAAATGCACGTGGATTATAACGTTCTTTCTCATAAAGAACTACCTGGCATCGTGACATCTCCTGTTGCAATGATCAATTCTATCCCTCAGAATGGAAATGTCACATGTGAGTTCTCTTTCTACTGAAGCCACTTCATTTTGTAGAGTTTTCAAGAGGTTCGCTTGTTGTGCAGTTTTTGTGAACTTCTCGGTTATGGTCTCTTTTAGATGTTTCTGTTTCTGTCTATTCTCTTTTTGAAGTTTTGCTTGAGCTTGCTGAAGCTGTTCGACTTTCGTCCTGAATAGAAAGATCTATCTTAACGATTAAGTTTAATTGTTTTTGATGCAGATTGTAAATATAAAAGTTAAGAACTAACATTTTGAAGCCAGAATTTTGTGAAAATCAGTTCATTTCTCTTATAATACCATCAAGACTTACAGCTGAACTTCAAAGTCAAGGTTTTGCTGTTGGTATGGCTTAAAAGGATTGTCATCCTCCGTCGCTGTTGTACTTTCAGTCTCCTCATTGACCCTATCATTGCTAGCACCCTCACTTTCGTTCTCAGATGGTATCACTACCTCTTCATTAGCTTGTAAAGAGGTCTGATTCATGATTTCTTGTTGCACTGGTTTTTGAGGAGATGACTCCTGGACCAGGGTTACCTCATCAGTAACTGAAACTTCGGGAGACTTCACAGATTTCGTTTCTGCTGCTAACTTTTCTCGAAACTCCCTCTGTTTTGCAGCACGATCAACTGGCTTCGTAAACGATGCACCATCTGAAATATATACAATTAGGGCACTCTACACTGTAGTAGCCATTAAATGAAATATTTTTACTTATCTTGAAATAGAGTTCCTACCATATTGGAACAATAAAGTCTTGTTGTCCGAATATAAAACGTACTTAAATCGCCAATGACTTTAACATGTTTGCTAGAGGGTTGAGATGTCCGCTCACTCCTCTGTCCGTTCGTCTTAGTGGTTGTTTGTTTTGACTGAAGGTTCCTGTTGCTGTTCAGTTGGTTGATCTCGTCATCCGTAAACCCTATTTCATCCATATCATGACTACCAAATAGTAATAGTCTCAGTTCAGTTTAAATTACCAAAATATTATTCATTGTAGATTTTAGTTCATAGCTAAATTCTTTTAGTTTATATTAATATTCGCTATGGGTCTGCAAAACATTTTATGTTCATGAGATTGAGTATGACACCGAGTAAGAAGATGATACTTCTGGGAAGTAAATTAAACTGGTAAATTTGTAGAATGGTATTATCATCGAACTTTGAATCATATTAAATGCGATCCGTCTTAAAATCATAATACAAAATGAATGAAAAATAAAGTCATTTGTTAACATATCGAACTATGATGTTGGCTGATTTCCAAAATGGGCCGATCACATCATCATCTGAGAAGAATTTGTACGGAGTCCTGCAGCAATGTAGTAAATGTGGTACTCATAGAGACATCTTCAGTCGTTTGATTTTTGTTTTTTGCTAGGTCTGCCCCTTTTCCCCTTCTGTAACCACTTAAGAGCCTCCTGTTGAACTGTTAACAAGGGTTTTCTGTAGTTTTCACTCTTTAGATGCTCCTCAACTTGTTTAGGAGTCACACAAATGATGTGCTGTCCTTTCCAGTACTTCACTATGTTCAACATCTGAAAATGATGGGAGTTAGACCAGTTGTGCTTTAAACCCGATCAGGGACAAAAGGATTTCGCGATTATTTTGGCCAAAAATCGCGATACCGAAAATTTTAACAGACTATACATTAAACTATACATAAAATTTGTCGCAAATAATGGGAAAAATCGCGATTCCGTACATGCCGCGATTTCCTTTTCTCCATGAACCCGATATACATATTTTGGTCTTTACATAACAGTATTTTAAAATCTCAGTAATGGTCCTAATGGAACTATTTGAAGTTAGTTTATATGAATGTTGCTAACCTGTAAGGTACTAATAATGTCATCCTCAGTAATAGAAGTTCTGTTGCTGAGCTCCTTAATACTGACGGTACCATGTAGATCCTTGAGAATGTCCAGTAGGACCCAGCTCCAGTAACTCCGGTAACTTAGTTTTCCCAGGTCACTCAGCGGCTTTTCTGGGGTTCCCACTTGGCAGTCCCTTTTTGATAGTTCGTATGAGAACTGGATTAGGAATTTGCCGTAACCTTTTCTCTGTAAAGTAAGTAAAAGCGTTAGTAGAGTCTAGAGTCTGGAGATAAAACCATCTGAATCATAATACGATTTGTAGATAATTTTGAGAGGCATTTTGGAGTGGAAAATGGGAATAGAAACAACAGCTACCACACTGGATTCGATACCACCAACCCGATAGAAATCCTGGCGTTTGCTAAGAAGACCTTGCTTGAGGGACCCTTAGACGCCTAGCCCATCACCACCACAACAGCTATTAAAATAAA